CTAAGCCCATTCATCTGAGCCCAGCCACCAAACCACAAGCTCTAAGAGTACAGAGCAGTCTCAAACCTGAGGCCAGGGCAGTTTCCACACTGGGGAAGCGGAACGCACATACGCATGTCGTTACAAATATCATAGTTTTGAGCTTCAAAAGCAAGGGCTACACAAAGCAAGCACCAAGCGTGCAGAACTTACTGGATTCCCATTTGGTAGACTGTTCATGGTCCGGGTGAATCGGATCACGTGGCCATCCCCACGTCTTGCTGGCCAGGCTGGCATAGCACCTGGCAGCGAATTGGCATCTTGCGGCGGGGCTGGGTGGGTAAAGACCACATTACCCTGTGGCCTTGGGCCATCGTTACTGCGCAAGTTCTGGCCCTGCAGCAGATGGCCACCATCTGCCTGCTTCTGAACCCCAGAGACTTGCGATGCCAGTGGGTTCCCAACGGGGCGATTCTCCTGATTGACTGGAAGAGACTGCAAGGAAGAAAGGACAAGAGGAAACTTGAGGAACAAGCTCAGTTCCCTCCAGTCCAAAGCCCCATGCCGAAAACCCACAGAAGCCCTGCAGAACTCTCCTCCCTGGGGTCTCCTGGGAGTACCACACCTTCTGCCTCATGAGCTGCAACTGGCTGTTGGCTGGTGCCACGGGCTGCTCCTTCAGCACCTGAAACTGCTGCTGCCCCTTCCCAGCTCCTCCTCCTTTGAAGCTGGGCATCCTCTGTAGAGCTTCCTTGAGCTGCCTGAACTCTTCCATCTGGGCCTGAGGGGATGAGAAGGGTACAGAGAAACCTCACACAGTAACAGGGTTCAACAACTCCTTGCTGAGAACAGCCACTCTTTTATGGCCAGTTGTTCAGCACAGATACACTGCTAGAGAAGATATACATTTTATATACATGAAAGGCTGGAGATAATCCACAACCATTAATGACAAGCCCAAGCTAGCCTTCAGCTTTCCCTCCAGATTTCATGGATATTCTGCATTCCCCCTTTGCCAGTCTTGCATCTTATTTTATTGCATACTTTTACCCTGGAAGTGCTGACCCATGACGCCGATTCTTTGACCAACGCTATTTAGTGCATGAGCCATTGACATAACTCCTGCCTTTGCACATGAATTGTAAACTGGCTCTTGTTAGGTGGGGCTCCCTCTCCAAGGCTTACACATATGTACCTTCAAGGTCAGCTTTTTTCCTTCCTGCGGAAGCATTTCTCCATGGATATGCTCATCTCAGTGGGGCTGACAATAATTGGCATAATCCTACTCGACAATTCAATTTACTTTGCAAGTCAAATGAAAATTGATTCTCCTGGACTGTTAAGCAAATGCAACACTTTTCTCTCTACCGCTGCTTATTTCTTCAAACTCCAACCCTGAAAAGTAAGGCTTGAAAAAGCTATTCAGGAAAAGCTCCCCACTCTTACCCAGTTATTTATAGGAAAGTGAGGGGAGAGAGCTTTTCATATGCTTGCCAGGGTACGTGGAAATGGACCGTATTAGGGACTAAACAGAGTAGGAAAGCTTCCAAGCAGCAAGGAAAGTTTAGAAGGAAATTAATTCCTGAGCAGGCTCTGCTGATTTCACTTCTTCCCCCTGAAATTTGACCTTAAAATTAACCTTAAAAAAAAACCCAAAACAAAGCCCAACAAAACAGCTCAGCAAAGCTAACATAAAAGGAATGAGGAAAGGAAAAGGAAGCCAAGAACAGTTCATGGGATATAGCCCTAGCTAGTAGGAGACGGCTTCCAGTCAGAACAAGCTAGATGAAGGCAAAACCTGTATCCATCACAAGCCTGTTAAGGGGGTCAGCCCAGAGGGAAAGGAGCTTTAGACCAGCCTTAACACACAGACGCCCACATGCTGTTTGTGCCCCGTCACAGCAGGCTGCGCCTACATCACTTGACGCCTCCGTGCCTCATTCTACCTGGCAGACCAACTGGTATGACAGCTACTGCAGGCTCAGTGATCTGGCTAGGGCTGATGAAACATGTCTGAATCCTTGGAAAATGAACGTGTCATCTAGAATGCAAATTACTCCCCTAAACTTTCACCTGCCAGAAGGAAGCAAGATCAACAACAGGATACTCGGCACAAATCGACACTGCAATGAAGAACTGCAGTGCTGAAAGAAGCTGGGAGTCTTTGCGGGTGCCTGCTCTGACACATGGCATCTTGCCCCACTGTAAGCAAATGCAATTCCATTCACCTTTGTTATGAAACTCTGATTAGACGCTATAAAGGACTCATCAGAAAACTGAACAGAAAACTTTAACATTAGGCTCATTGTCAAAAAGATCCAAAGTATTTTCTGAAACCACTGGGACCAACCCATAAGAGCCAGAAATAGCAGTCAGACAGATGGTTGGAGCACAACTCTATTACATGACTGTCTAGTACATTTAGAGCAGCGAGCCGAGCCCTGTCTCCCACACCCAGGGCAAATCCTTTTACTCTTGCTCACTCTTAATTTTGGCGAGAAATGACAGTGAGCTATTTCTTGCAAACTAGTTTTCCCATTGGTCACAACACTGAAGGGGCCAAAAGTTAAGACTTGCAGCACAAAAGCTGCCACCATGTTTTCCAGCATACAAGCGCTTGACTTTGTAGCCTCAGCCATCTCGAGCCAAGGTTTTTTAATGATGTTCAGAGTATGTGCTCGTTTGTGCGCTCGAAGTGACGATCGCTTTCTCTAATGCAGCACAGTTAGTCAAACAGCATTTTAAGAGCAGTCTGCTGAAGAGTAACTCAGGACTGGTCCTACACGGTGTGCCAGATGCAAATGCACTTAGCATTGACCCAGCAAGACAAAAGTAGAAATTCGTAATGGCAAACAGAGGGCCTTTGATCAACGGATACTGACCCAAGGCGTCAACGGCAGGGGCCTGTATGATGGGAGCTGACTGGGTCTCAATGTTGCTTGAGAACGAGCTCCAGAGCAGTAACATCAGCAGCTACTTTGAAAGTTTGGTCAGGAGGCCTAAAAATGACGGCTGAGATGCATTTTGATAGCAGGTGGTGTGAATGTAGACTTGCCAGGAGCACTGGAGAAGCTTGTAATCACATGCTGTTTCAATTCCTGGTACGGGCTTGCTGGAGTGACCCCTATGGAGACTAGAAGTCTTTGCTTAGTTTCCAACAAGCACACTGCAGGCAGTATCGCTGCAGAGGATCCTTTCAGTCTGCCTTAGCCCCATGGAAGAGGATGGTAAAAAGGCAATTCGGTAGTAAGTCACAATTACGAAGGCAGGCAAGTCAAATACACTGACAGTCCGCCTGAGACCCCTCAAACCACATCTGACATGAGCCAAAGAGCTATCGAATGACAGCTGCCTGCAATGTCAGTAACCTGGGCTTCCTGCCTGGAGCAATTGGTTATCTGTGAAGTTTGCAATGCCCTAGAGCCACTTACTCCCTGCTATTTTGCAGGGCAGATCAGGCCAGAACTCAAAAGCAATCTTGTAGAAGTCAAAACCCACTGCCCCACACACCTCTAGTTCAAGTTCAGCATCCAGTTCAGGGGAAGAATCAGTTGTCAACAGCATCTAACCACAACTAGCTCCTTGCTTCTGGGCTTATCCTATAATCCAAGAGAGTGCTTGACAGAAGGCTGTTAATTAACAACAGAAAAGGCTAATTCAGACTGCGACGTGACTTTTAAAGTGTATTTACAAAGCTGCTTGTGTCTTGGCTCAGTACAAGAGCCTCAGACAGACGCTGTAGAGACATTAAGTCCTCCCACTTCTCCCAGCACACCCTTCTTTCTCCCTTCTCCCAAGTCATCTGGGAGCTCCCAGCTTCAGCTGGGTGAGCAGAATTCTGTGAGGTCAGGACTTCCAGTGCGCTGACGAGGCTCACACCATCTCCATAGCATGAGCACAACACCATATCAACAAAACTTTTGGGTTTTTTCCCTGCAGAAAAATGCTCTTCTACCTCTCTGGTCTTACGCCAACACCACTTGCATATCTGCCCCAGCCTCCAAAGGCATTGCTCCAACACTTTTATTACCAAACACTAACTTCTTTTTTACATAGCTCTTTCCAATTTTTTTTATAGGTCTCCCTCTCTACTAAGGCTTCACAGGGAGATGCAGAAGAGGACCTTTTCTGCAGGGTTGTTGAGCATCTATTTGTAGTCTCAGCAAGCCAGGCAAGGCACCTCTACATTATTTTTCTCTCTGCAATTAATTTTGTAGGCATAAACAGAGGCAATTCATCATCATTTAGAGGGGAAGTATTTGAGACATGGGTAAGTGACAGGAGACATTCCAGGGTTGGGAATATGCTGGTTCATGCTTACTTGAACCACAGTGACTTGTGTAGCATACCTGTATTTTCAGCTACCGGGACAGATTCCAGGCTGGAGAATTTTACTTGTACAGAATGCATCTATACTACTAGCACCTACCAGCACTGTTTTAGGCAACTCACCACACTGGAATACAGTTGATAACTAGATTTATTATTTAGAGACTACTTGATGGTGCACCCAGACCCCAGCGAAAGATTGTCCCACGTGGCCACAAACATCCCCCCTGTTGATTACCTGGGCGCTAAGGAGCTGGGAGTGAACTTCCTGGTGGGCTTTCCGCAGAAGCTTGCTCTCTTCTCTGAGTTTAAAGACTGTATCTGCAAGAGAAAAAGAAATTTGCTTGAGAGCTATTTTCACAAGTGTAGTATCTCTCTTCCTTACCGTAAATTCCTCTTGACCTTATAGATCTCTCCAAGCCCAGGAATTACAGTGAAGCACTCGCTAGGGACCAGCCAAACACACTGACAAACCTGAATCATCATTCCTCTCAGCACTCAGGAGCCCTGCCCCTCCAAGGACCTTCCTCCTCTCCAGAGAGTCTTCAAAGCATCTATTGCTATCAGGATCAGGCTCTTGCTGTGCTTCCTATCAGGAGCAGGGTATTTGTTTCCTTTCCCTTACCCGTTGCAGCCAAATAGCAGGGAGAGCAGCGAGCAGTGGTCACTGCCCCTACCTGTGGTAACTGGAAGGTTGAGGAACAACTACAAGAGGTCTGTCAGGTCTCCCGAACCCACAGCAGATCCAATAAAGAGGTTCCCTCCTGCTGCACAGAAAAACTGCCTCTTGAAAGGATGGTACAAACAAAACCCCACAACCCACTTACAGAAAGCGATCACAGGACAACCTGGTCCTCAGGCACATTTATTCCTATGCTGCTAAGCAGCAAGCTTGTTCCTGGCAGCCCCCAGGCTGGGCTCCTTTCAAGCTCTTTGCACACTCCTAAGTACTTCAGTGACAAGACACACAATGCATTTGCATTTCACTGCCTTGAATATAATTGTGTATCCTCCAGTAAAAAGGAAGACTGTGTCAAAAAATGTCAGCCTTATTTTGGATCCTCAAGCTCTCTTAAAATATCACTAGAACTGTATGCACTGGGATTTCTCTGCAAACATAGTTGCGCCTGCCAGGACAAGGATGGGAATTTTTCCTGTAACAGGATGGTCGCTTTGCTGTAGGTGGAATTGCATGCAAGATTTCAGCCCAAGATTATAGACATTTCTGATTACAGTGGTATCTTTCTTTATAACATTCATCCCTAGGACAGGACATTTTGCCATTGAGGTTGGGTGCTGTGTTCTTGCCTTGCGGTGAAGGTTAACATCAAACTGAGAAAAGCAGGCTCTGTCTTTCCTGCAGCCAGACAGAATATGGAAATATGTTCTAGGGGACTACAGCTAGAACGGCTGTAACTGACTTACCTTGTGTACACACAGTGCTGAAAGCGCACACAGCTGTGGCTGTTGGCCTGGAGCAGTGAATAAGGGATATGTTTTTAGGCAGCTAGTCCAGGCTAGAGGACAGCTAACACAAGGCTGCTACTGCTAAGACCACAGACTAAAATACAGACTTTCTCCCAGGCCTTCAAGAGACACAAAGGCACCTCAAGTGTGGGAGAGAGGTCCAAAAGAATCCTGCAGTTTCGCTGAGCCAATACATCAGTAACACCTAGGTCTTCAAAGCATATTCTGGAAAACCTTCATGCCATTGTACGTCCTTCCTCTACCACCGGCACGGCAGACATGAAATCCTGGTCCCAACGACCTCATCAGGAGTTTTACCACTGCTGTCAACGGGAAGAAAATTTCAGCTATAACTACAGGGTTCTTATCTCCAACAGAAGCTCAAAGATCAACACTATCCCTCTGCCTTCAGAGCAGACTGTACCAATGTATGATGAGGAAAAAAAAAGTGGAAAGCACAGAATTAGCATGGTGGAGCACAGCAGAGGACAGGCTGTGCTGGGGGTGTGAAATGCAGCATAAATAGACGGCAGTTCCTGTAAAGCAGAGGAGAAAATAGTTCATAATGCAGCAGGAGAGGGCCTGGAGTAGAGGGAGGAGGCAAACAGGGTTAAACAGGCCCCGGTTAACAAGACTAGGAGGCTTCAGCTACCTGAGCATATACTCATAGCCCATTAACCGGCATTCAAAAACCACTTCCAGAAGCAGGGACTTTCAAGGAACAGGGCACAGATACACTGCAGCCACTGGGTCACGCAGCACAGCTGCATCGTCCCCACATCCCAGCACCTTCGGCACGTAGATAGCTATGTCAGCACCCTGAGAGCTGCCCCGCAGCTGTAAAGCCACCAGGACCACCACGAGGAGCTAGCCAACCCAGCTCCACCTGTGAAAGCAACCCCTCAGACTTCCCCGTGGGCTTCTGCTTTCCCCCAGCATCCCTGGGGCGAGGGTTTCATTTTTGCAATTGAATCTAGCAAAAATCCCTCAGTTCCATTCTAACAGCCCTGAGCAATGGGCATTGCTCAGATACCTCTTCTGTTTGCCGTTATCCTCACCGACAGAGGCACATCTTCCAACACACGTCTCCTGAGGGCACATTATATATAGAAATTACTGGCGGAACATAAGGAAAGAAAATGAGGCATTAGCAATGCTACTAGCTCTCTGTCTTTGCCACCTCTCATGAGACTGTCTTGTTCTTTTGTATGGCATGGTTACCAATACTTAAGGGAAGATTTATGAGCCAGCTTTGAGCTTAAAGCACAGGAGAGCGATGGTACCAAGTAACCTGGGAAGATGGACAGAGAATATTGATATCTCAGCCTTAAGCTGACCTTCCTGACCAGCTTCCCTCTTTGAATTGTTTTTGATCATTACTCTTCTTCCTCTGGCAGAATTTGCATTCTTACTTCATTGGGGGCTGCATACTTCAAGAAAAGAGACAATCAGATATTTAGGTTTCGCTTGCTTGTGCTCAATTCCCTCCTCCTAACCCAGGAGTGCACATCAGGTACCAGAGCTTTGTCAATCAGAGAAGAAAGCCCAAACAAAACATCAGCAGATTTCGCTCTCCCAGACCTAATCTAAGTAAGAACAGATGTGAACCTTAAAAACCCCACAATCTAATTAAACAGCAGACTAAATAGAAACTACGCTTTGGGAATTAAAGGGATCAACATTCTCTTCAATACTTGCACTATTAAATGCATTTTATAGACCTACACCATTAATTACAAAAAGTACATTTAATTTGCTCCCAAGCTTAAATGTTAGAATTTACAGGATTCTACTAGTATAAAAAACTGGTTTCCATTGTCAAAAGTGTACAGAGAAGTGGAAAACGCGTATTGAAATAGATGGGATACCTAAACGCGACAGTGTTTTATCTCTGCCACAAAAAGCATCTCTGCTGACTTATTTACACCCAACTGCCGGAGAAAGGCTAGGGTAAGGCAGTATTATCTGATGGATGGACCTGTTGCTTCTGCCCCAGCCTACTGTGGAACCACAGGCAGGTACCTCTGCCGTAGCCTCATGCCTTTTACTTTTGGATTATCTTATCTGTTTTGAGTGGTGACCTCCTCGGGACATGGACTGTTTCACAATCTGAATGCGATCAGCATCTGGCACAATAATTTGTTCTCTTACCTGGCTCTACACAAATAAGGTGAGCAGCAGCTGCAGTAAGAGAAAGCAGCCTGCAAAAGTCAACGAGGCTTTTAAAATAACACCATGAAAGTGCTGGTGTTGACAGAAGCCAGGGATGCCCCACACCGTATAACAGCGCAAGGGTCTCTGAACCCCAGAGAACGCAAAGTATGGTTAAACCCAAGGTCACGCAGTCTCCCATGGGGCTAAAAAAAGGAAGCTCCTCTCCTCTGTGACCCTACGCTGACCGTGCAATTGCAGCCTGATCAATGCCTTTGCCAGCCCAAGCAGCCAGAGGCTTGTGGTGTGTATTCCTACACAAAAACACCAGCTGTGAACCCCAGTAGCTTCCCTCGCACGGGGAAGCTGCTCGACAGCCTGCTCTGCATCTCTCTCCTCCCCTCAATGCAACCTCAGGACACCCGGCCAGTTTAAACACTGCCGTTGTTCCTGCACCACCACCCCCGGGTAGGACAATGCTCCAGCTGAGGTACAGAAGGGCTAAGGCACTGCACACTCAGTCATACAGAAGTGTTCCTACAGTATTTGCAGACCTCTTGGGGGCCTGTAGAAGAAACACTGTCCTCTCCCGAACTCAGCTCTTCAGTCCTTTCTCTGCCTGGTGTTTTCTCAGCTCTCCGTGACACTTACCCTGCAAGTTTGTGACTTCACTGTCCTTCTCCTGCTGCAGCTGGGCATATTTCTGGCTATGGGCCTCCAGTGTCTTACGATGTTCCAGTTTCAAGCTGTTGTGCTGCAGCTGCAGGTCAAGCAGCTGCTTCTTGACATCTTCATGCTGGTTCTGAATGTGAAGAGAAGTGACAAAGTCAGTACAAGGAGAAGAGTAATTTAGCTATTGCCAAGTACTACTCGAGTGCCTCTGTTTAATAAGTTGCTTGGGGAGGCAGAAGAGATGTTCGTTCCTCCAATAAGGTAGCTAGAAATCCCAGATACAACAAAATATTCTTTGTGTTCAGTGGTTCAGGAGGGATGTGAAATGCCAATTAAACCCTGCTTTGTGACGCAGTTTGGGAGCTCTCCTTGGAAGCCACTAAACTGGAAAGAATGTGATGGCCAGTCCACTCCTGCCTGAAAGAGATGGAGACTCTGGGACACAGCCAAGAACTATTCCTATTCCTTCCCAACTCCCCCTGCACACCCTGCTTTGTGAGAGCACTGCAGGCTATAATATTTGCTGATATCAAACCAAACGCCTGTGCAACACCGCACAAATGCAAGGTCCTTTCCAGAGTCCCAGACATGCTGAAGGACAACATTACCTACAAGGACAGTCTCCACGGTGCACGTAGCATCAGTCTGCACGCTGCATTACAGGCGTGGTTCACCTTTAGATAGGGCTAAAGTCTAATTCCCGTTGCCCTTCTGTGTGCAGGTATTGCTAGTCACTTCGGACACACAGACACCTCAACACTCAGGTTGTTCTCTGCTTCGTTCGCTTCCCAATAGCCTGGCAGTTCTCCCACCCCCCACTCCAAGCTGCTAGAACAGGAGGGAGAGCTTTTGCGAGGATACCACGTCCCCTCACATGGAGAGACTAGAGAGAGCCCACATTCCCCATACTAACATGAGCTCACAGGCATAGAATGCCAGGATAACAAGACTCTACAAGACCACAGACTATTCCAAGCAGGCCAAGAATCCATCAGATAGAAGCGGGTTGAAGAGCTGTTCCCTTCTCCCCTCCTCTCGTAGAGCCCAAGAACAAACATGCTGAGACATCCTTTTGCTCAGACCCACTGAACCAGAATTCACCTCCTTTTTTGTTCCCATGGTAACCTAGAGAGTCCTTCCACATTCAGTTTGTCAACACCAATTACGTATGCAGATTGATTGGCTCACAGGTGAACCCTGGCCCTTCCACACAATTAGCTCCTCAGGACTCAGGCAGCAATTTCAATCCGCCTTCCTGTTAAAAAATAATCTTCTTTTTAAAAAAAAAAAAAACCCGAACTTCTAAGTGCTATCAATGATTGCATTTATCCCTAGTAAAACAAAGCATCTATGGCCCAGGCATTCTCCCCTGAAGCAATTATCCTCCACTAAAAGGAGAGAAATAACTGTGCTCCAAAAACACATGCAATGCAGAGGAAAAAAAGCTATCAGTATGGAGGGGTCCCAGGGACAGAACAAAGAGGAGACACAAGAATGTCAGGTTAATCAGATCACAAGGTCAGGAAGGAAAATAAAGAGAGTAAAAGATTCCTGCTTTGGCTTTCAAAGACATTAGGTACTTACAGCTCTCATCAGAGCCACCGGCAGAAAGCACTGCAGAGGAACCACATCCCTAAAATCATTTTGATACTAAACACCTCAGAAGCCACTAACATTAACAAGTAAGAATTGATTTTAAGAAGAAACTTCAAGCAATTCAAGGAATTTTAAGTCCTCATCAGCTCAGGTCAATTCATTTCTAGCCCATATTCTGTCTGGCAGGTGATGTGCATAATGCCTGTCCCCAGCCTGCTCACAGCCAGGAAGAAGGGAGGGAGTGTTCATCCTTTGACAGCAGCAAGAGGCTGGAGAGAGATAAGTGCCTTGACCAAGGTCACACAAAGCACCTGAGGCCTGGCCCAGCCCATTAAGCACACAGAGCATCCTCATTCCCAGCTGGTTTCTGAGGATGGCTGTGACCAATGTATGCAAACTTTAGGAAGAACCTAAAGGTGCTGTTTTACTGTAGTTGCAGGACAGGAGGTCTGGAACATGCTACGTGTGATTATTTTTCAGAGAAGCAACTTAACTCTAAGCAGAGCATTCTTGCCCCAGTCAGTTCTACCAAAGCCAGGTATGCTGACAGCGCCGAGGAAGCCAGGAACCTCTCATGGCCAGAGCTGCCCACCTGACTGTAATGTCATTCCCTTCTCTACCTTACAGATACGCTGTTTTACTCAGTCAAGCAGAAATTGCAAGACCCAGGACATGAGCGTTGTGCAAATCATGTACAAGTGCGGCTGGAGGTGACAGAACACAGAGAGACCATGCTGCCATGCCATTTCACTGTGCCCTTACCCGTCACGCCAACGCTGCAATATGGCGTGTCACGGTCTAACCCCAGCCAGCTCACTACCCCAAGAGGGATGGGGGAGAGGATCCAGAGCCAGGCAGCTGGAGGTCCCACTCCGCTCAGGAAACGCAACCCAGCAGTGCTAAGGGTTGCTGGAACCTAGCCCTCTTTCTGCATTCCAGACTCAAAGAGCCAAAGGCCTTGACTCTGCGTAATCACTGCTCAGCAGTAACTAAAACATCTCTGCACTATCGACACTGTTTTCAGCACAAATCCAAAACATAGCGCCATACTAGCTACTATGGAAAACATTAGCGCTATCCCAGCCAAAACCAGCACAGGGCAATCATATCATTCAAGAAGTCAGCTAATCTTTCAAAAAATCCAGAGTCCTTCAACTCAGCTGTACTAATTCAGACCAGCAAGTCCTCTCATCCCACCTTCCCTTTGCTCTTCAGACAACGTGTAATGTCCAAGATGCATCAGCTATGCAGTAGCTCTATCTCACTGAGATCTCTGGGGAAATGGCTGGGTGGGGGAGCTGGCAAAGGGAAAGAAGAAAATAAAAGTACCTCAGAAACATGTATTTCTGCCATGATTTAGAAAGCAGCTTTGCAGACAGCATTGTAGAAAATGGAATCAGTAACTGGATGCTTCGTCCACAAGCAAAGGAAGGGCACACCTCCTTGCAAGTTTCCATGTTCCAGCAGTTTCAGGAAGTCCGTGTCAAAAATATCTTTTGTTTAAAGCCACCTGCCTCCTTGCCTGCCTATTCCAGTGGATGCTAGGATGCATCCTGCAGAATGATGATGATAAAAAATTTTAATCTCCACTCAAGAGGATGAAAGGAATTGCAAGACAAAGTCTGGCCCCAGCGGGAATCCAGGCAATCCACAGGCAACTACTGCAGCTGCTATTTTTGGACAAAGTCAAGCCCCTTGCCCCTTTGAGCCTGGTGTGCCAGCTGCAGATGTTAATCAGACATAGATGACTTCAATACAGATCAGAATGACGGCAGTGGCCAGAAACACCAAAGCCAGATATGCCGACGTGGCTTCATGGAAGTCTTTGGTCATATTTGGGACCTCCAACTTAACAGTTAGTGCTTCTGGTCAGCATTACATGCCTACTGCCTAGGCGATGGTATTGCTGGCAGCCACCTTCCTCCCGAGGAAGCTGGTACCAGTGGGACGCATTTTTTGCCTGTGCTCCAGTAACAGAAGCGTTGCTCAGTCTCATAACTAGCTAGAAGTTGAGCCAAATACTGCTTTTTCAGGGTGGGGGAGCTGAAATCTACCACACTGCAGTCCCAGGGCTGGCCTGTCTTTCAGCAGCTATAAATGTAGTTTAAAAAAAAAAAAAAAGAGATTTTTTTTTTTCCTCCCAATAAAAGGAAGCAAGAGAAAGGGAGCCAGGACGAAATGCTCTCACTGTCCCCTTGAGACAAGCAAACCAGAGCATTCTGCTCAGACTGCAGTTGCTATGAAGAGGAACGTTACTATTGCGAAGTGTTCCCAGAATCCGCAGTGCTGGATAATACCCAAGAGACAGAACTGTACTTCCCTTTTCCCAAAGTTTGAATCCAAAAGCCAGGCAGCTGGAGGTCCAAGTCCGCTCAGGAAATACAACCCAGCGGTGCTAAGGGTTGCTGGAACCTAGCCCTCTTTCTACATCCCAGAATTAAATTACCATTTTACTGCCAGTGCTCTAACTAAAAACATTTAAAACCCACCATCACCAGCCACAGCTGGATTGCTCTAACAAAAGCAAACTTTAACATCAAGATATGCTTCAGGTAGAGCATGCAGTGAGCTATAAAACGCTATAAGCCGCACCCCTCTGAGCCTCTTCCTTGGACTGGAATACAGCGTAGTAGCCCAAAGGGCAAGCTACAATGAACAGACCCATTTTCACACTCAGAGACCCAGAAAAGACGACACTGAACAACAGAACTCCTGTGCGATAAAGTGCACAAAGGCTACCGTTGAAACGAGGCATAGGTGAAGGCTGCAGTCTCCTACAAAGCCCAACAGAATAAATAGGAAACCTGAATAGTCAGGAAGGAATGCAGATCAACACCACCATGTGCTCTCCTCCCTCTGTGCTGGCACTGGCTGCACGAAGCCCTTGGTCTCTCCCAGGCATCTCTGGCAAGCGAAAGCACTGACTCTCCTTCCAGGGAGCATTCTTTAACACGCAGCAGATGGTGAGTACGCGAAGCCAGACTCCTCCCTTACCTTCAGTATCTTGTGCTGGGAACTGAGGGCCCCGTATCTGTTCATAGAATCTTGCTGGAAAGAAAGAGATTCAACAGTGCCGTTAGATCCCAGAAAAACCTAAGGCAGGGAGAAACACACACGAGCGCCCGCCCAGCCACTGCACCACCAGCAAGTTCTCGCCGCCCCTTCACGCGCACACGGCGACTGGGAACCAGCCTGCCACGGGGACCGGCAGAGCACGCAGCCCAAGCACGGCTGGGGAAGAGCCCTTTTAAAACAACCTAGCTACCAGCTAATTAACTGCGCTCTTTTGATTCGCAGAGTCATTTTCGCCAGTCTTCAGTTCTTTATCTAGGACAGGCCCAGCGCTGAAAGAGCTTTGCACAGTAAAATCCCCCCAAAGCAGGCTGAGCGCTCTTCGCAGCAGCTGAGGGGGAGGCAGACAGCACCGGAGCTAAGGCTTTCGCCTACACACAAAAATTGCACCATTTAACAAAAAAAATTGATCACTAAGCAAGTGAGTAAGCCTAAAGCAAACTCCTGTAACTAAGTACAGCTATCAAACTAAGCTCAAATGACACAAACCGGCAGTGGAGAGGGATTTACATGTGCCCACAGAGGGGTCTGTGCCAGTTTAACAGATCTGCTCATGCCTTGCTAAGGGTCACGTTCTTCCTCTTTGTCCCCAGGGTACCGTTCTTCACTGTAGCACCAGCATCTCAATGCAGCGGGTGCGAAAGCCTTCAGCCATCTGCGCTCGAAGGCTGAGTCCCAACAGCAGTAGTGGCACGTGAGAGGGGACATGCTGCAGCTTTCCCCATTATATGCAGTTTTCCAAACATCTGCTGGGATCTACCTTTGGGGTGCTTAAAGCAACATGGCTGAGACACTAAGCAGCACCACGGAAGTGCACACTAACCACCATGCAGAGAGTTCCACTACAACCCACAATTTAACTTATCTGATACATACTCAATACGGTATTAAATATTACCAGCAAATGAGCACGGATTGCAAGGGAGCTGCCCAGACATTTAGAGTATTCAGATATTCATCCATGAGTTTCTTTCTGTAACAGGATGACATTCACCCACAGATGAGCAGGCTAAAAGCAATTCCTCCTCTCCAGCATCTCATCAACAGATGCTCTGAGAAAGGAATAACACCAGCCTTACAACTTCAAGTGAATGGGACAGACTGTAACCCAGGGATGCGTTTCTTCCTAACCTTCACTGAAGAGTCCTTCCTTTCCCTGCCAAATGAGAAGTCCACAGGCTACTGGAAATCATTTGACAATCCCTGGAGACAGAAAACAATGGATGTGCTTTCCCCAACACCACCATGGCCTTTCTTCTCCATGTTCCCTGTGGCGTGCCTTGCATTCAACTTCCCCAGGACTCTTCTATACCGTGAAACAGCAATTCTCTCCTCAGACTGCAGCACAGGACTCGCTGCCACACCGGGAGCTGATAATCAAGTCATCTACTCTGCTATCGCACATGGGAGAATAGCTCTAGCACATCTTAGTCTTT